TTAACAGGCAGCATAGCAGGTGCTACATGGATTTGTGTCAAGTTGTACCTCATTTGAAAGTCTCTTGACTGATTGCGTCACTGAGATCTAGGCATTAAACTAAGAGGGAGGATTCAAGAGATTTATAGACAGCCCTGCTAGGTAAAGCATATTTTAAAATTTAAGAACTGTTATTGTTCAGTTTATGGTTTCAATCTACTGTATTTTCAACTATGCAACAAAATAACACTTGAGGCCCCTCCCGCTGATCGTTATTCATTAAATCCTTGTAATTCAAAAGATACAAAGCCAATATCCCCTGTGGGGTCTAGAGTTCCTCACCAAACTTCTTTCACATTGTCCTTTCAGCTGGGGAATACAGTAGTACATCTTCTAATCCAAAATTAGTTGTAAGTTCACCTTCCAGTTCTTCACATTAAACTGAACTAGCTGTTGTAAATAAGCTGTTGTTTTACAGTTTAAAATGTTGAATTATTTATGTTATCTTGCCTGCTTAAAGTACATTATGATAGTTTGAGTATAGCACTCTTCATTTAAAATATTTGTGGTTTTGGGTGCCTGGGTGGTTCAGTTGGTTAAGCGTCTGCCTTCAGCTTGGGTCATGATCCTGGAGTCCTGGGATCGAGTCCCACATCGGGCTCCCTGCTCAGCAGGGAGTCTGCTTCTCCCTCTGACCTTCACCCTGCTCTTGCTCTCTCTCTCACTCTCTCAAATAAATAAAATCTTTAAAAAAATATAAAATATTTGTAGTTTGAGATCATAAGCATATTTGCAAATAAGTTTATCTCAATTGGGAGAAAACAGACAGTTTCTATACTAGTGTTGAGGCAGGGTATAAAATTACCTGTTACTAGAGACCTGTGGGGTTGAATTTAAATATTAATTTCTCAAGGCCTACCTCTGTATTTTAGTCTGGCCCTGCCTACTAAGAAATTTCAGTACAAACACGAGGAGGAAAGGAATGATTGCTGTAAGCCAAGCTTAGGATAAACCTCAGTCATTTAAAAACTTTGAGAATTTCTAGGGGCCGCCTGGGTGGCTCATTGGGTTAAGCGTTTGACTCTTGATTTCGGCTCAAGTCATGATCTCAGGGTTGTGGGATCAAGCCCCGTGTTGGGGCTCCACACTCAGCAGGGAGTCTGCTTCTCTCTCCCTCTTCCTCCTTTCCCTCTGCCCCTCCCCCTGCTCTTGTGTGCATTCTGTCTCTCTCAAATAAATGGGTAAATCTTTTTAAAAATGTTTACAAACTGAGAATCTCAGGACGCGTGACTTAGTCATTTAAGCGTCTGCCTTTGGATCAGGTCATGATCCCAGGGTCCTTGGATCGAGTCCCGCATGCTGAGCAAGGAGCCTGCTTCTCCCTCTGCCTGCCACTCGCCCTGATTGTGCTCTCTCCTTTCTCTCTCTCTCTGACAAATAAATAAAATCCATTTTTAAAAAATACAATAAAAAAATAAAAACTGAGAATTTCTAGATTATGAATTATCTGTCTCTTGAGTGCCTAGTTTCTATAATAGAATAAAACTGAAACAGTCCTATGTATATGTACGTGTGTATTAAAGCAATTCACTAAAGGGGTGCCTGGGTGGCTCAGTCGGTTGAATGTCCGACTCTTGATTTTGGCTCAGGGTCATGGGATGGAGCCCAACTGACTCTGAGCTCAGCAGGGAGTGTGCTTGAGATTCTCTCCCTCTGCCCCTCTCCCTGCATGTGCATGCACATGCACTCCCTCCATCTCTCTCTCAAATAAATAAATGAAATCTTTAAAGCAATTCACTGAAAATATTCAGAAGTACCAGATTTATCAGTTGTCCATTACATATGAAAAACTGGGGCCACGTGCCAGGTAAAGGAGCTGTGTTTGAGATACAGAAGTTTTCATTTTCATCCTGGGGTAATAGGGTAATAAATTGCCTATTTTGTTATTTCTGACGCCCTCAGAACTTGGAAAGTGGATCCATGATAGAGCTCTTACTAGGTTTGGTGAGGATGCATTTCTTTCCTTTAAGTTCTAGAAATGATAATGAATCCTTTCTTTTTTTTGGAGAAAGAATATTGTAGGCCAGCCCTAGCATGACAAATTGAGAAATAGCAACATCTTCACTATGCTTGTTGGAATTTAAGCACAAGTGATTACCATCTCTGTCAGAAAAGATATGAGGTGCTGTCCTTTTAGCCATATTTGTCAGTGACCTTTGGTGTGCTGAGTGGGCTGTCAGGGATGATCCTGTTACCTGTCCATAGTAAACAGCCTTGGATATTGGGGAATCTGGTTCTTGTCCCCCATCCCCCTCCTATACACCACTAACTTTCTTCCTCCCCAGCTTAAGCTCCTTAGTGAAAAGTACTAGACTCTCAGTAGACTGTAGGAGTTATCTTTCTTATGTTGGGTGATTGAGTAATAACAATACTTCTGTGTTAATATCAATATGAATTTCTCTCATCTTGTCTGAAACGTTAATTGAACAAGTTCAGACTCAGAGCCTCGAGTCCACAATTCATTTTTCAAGAACAAGTTCTTTTTTTTTTTTTAAGATTATTTATTTATTTATTTAACAGAGAGAGAGAGAGAGAGAGAGAGAGAGAGAGATAGCGAGAGCAGGAACACAAGCAAGGGGAGTGGGAGAGGGAGAAGCAGGCTTCCTGCTGAGCAGGGAACCCGACGCAGGGCTCAATCCCAGGATCCCGGGATCATTACCTGAGCTGAAGGCAGACGCTTAACGACTGAGCCACCCAGGCTCCCCAAGAACAAGTTCTTAGTCATATACATACCCTTGTTTTTGGTCCTTTTCTTTTTCTTTTTCTTTTATTTCTTTTTTTTTTTTTTTTTAAAGATTTTATTTATTTATTTGACAGAGAAGAGCGTGCAGGAGAGCTCACAAGTGGGTGGGGAAGGGCAGAGGGAGAGGGAAAAGCAGACTCCCCGCTGAGTAGCAGTGAGGGGGGCTGGATCCCAGGACCTTGGGATCATGACCCAAACCAAAGGCAGAAGCTTAACTGACTGAGCCACCCAGGCACCCCTGGTCCTTTTCTCCTAAGCTTGTTTTCTAGTGTTCTTTAATTTCCTTTTTTTATTTTTATTTTTTTTAATTAATATCTGGTATAAAGGGAGAATATAGATTATTTCTTAGAAATATGATCTAGAAGTTTTTTTTTTTGTTTTTTTTTTTTTTTAGATTTTATTTATTTATTTGAGAGAGAGAGAAACAGCATGAGAGGGGATAGGGTCAAAGGGAGAAGCAGGCTCCCCGCCGAGCCGGGAGCCCGATACGGGACTCGATCCCAGGACTCCGAGATCATGACCTGAGCTGAAGGCAGTCGCTTAACCAACTGAGCCACCCAGGTGCCCAGATCTAGAAGTTTTCTAGCATAGAAAAAACTGCCTGTTTTGTTGTGTATTTATGAGATGTGGAGTTGTTGGTTAGTTTGTACAAGGCCTTGCAGTAAGTGGACCTGACTGTGTGTGTTCGCATGTGTCTGTGTGTGTCTCCGGTGGGGTTGTGGTTAGCTACACCAGCACTGAGGGGCTGCTGCTTGCGGGAGGGTCTTCAAAGCTGTTAAGGTGTTTTCTCTTTATGAGCCTTCTCCTTATAATCCTTACCTGCTCATTTTGACCCTAACCTTTAGAATTATCTTCATTTTTTAAAGTTTTGATAAATTTTGCTGACAGGTACAGATCTGTCTCTTAAAACAAAGTGTTCATAATATACCTGGTCTTAGCTAAGAGTCATTAAAAAAATTTAGTAAATTTTGGGGTGCCTTGGTGGCTCAGTCGTTAAGCGTCTGCCTTCGGCTCAGGTCATGGTCCCAGGGTCCTGGGATCGAGCCCCACATCGGTCTCCCTGCTCGGCGGGAAGCCTGCTTCTCCCTCTCCCACTCCCCCTGCTTGTGTTCCCTCTCTCGCTGTGTCTCTCTCTCTCTCAAATAAATACGTAAAATCTTAAAAAAAAATTTAGTAAATTTTTACCTTTATAGAAATAAGTTTTAAATACAGCAATGTCATTTAGTTTTTAAAATGGAACTTGAGTCCCTCTAGTGGGTAGAGTATAATGCACTTCCTAAGCTTGAAATCGGAAGACGACAGTCTTGAATGATGTGGAACTGGCTTTTAAATCCATTCTTCTTGTCACTACTGGTGTCTCCTCTTCCAGCAGAGGCAGTGCTCAGCTAACTGTTGGCTTGGTCCTCACGTTAGCCAAGATTCAGCAGGCCTCCTTCTCTGCCCATGTGACCCTAGTGGCCCTGGTCATTCCTCGCATGTGATCTCACAGGCTGTGGCTAACAGCTGCTTTCCTTCAAGCCTCAGCAAGTATCAACTTAGACTACATATAGGAGATTTTAAACCATGCAGTTTTTTTTTTTTTTAAGATTTTATTTATTTATTTGAGAAAGAGAGCATAAGCGGGGGAGGGGCAGAGGGAGAGAGAGAAGCAGACTCCCCGCTGAGCAGGGAGCCTGACTTGGACTTGCGGCTTGATCCCAGGACCCCCGGGATCACGACCCAAGCCAAAGGCAGATGCTCAACCGAGTGAGACACCCAAGTGCCCCTAAACCATGCAGTTCTTTAAAGAAGAGAACACAGTGCTCCCAGCGCCCTTGAGTTGCCATGAAATAAATAATTGTACAGGTGTGTGTTGGGCACAACACATAGATGAAGAACATTTAGTAATTGGAGGGTGTTATATACCGATAGCCTATGGCAAAGAACCTGGGTTTGGGGTTCAATTCTAACTTTGCAAATTACTAACTATGTGACCCTGATATGGTTACATATCTTTGTATCTTAGTTTTCCTTTCTATAAAATGAGGAGGTGATAAATCTATTTGGCAGAGTTGTTTTAAGTATTGAAAGTAAATGTGCAAAGGCCTTTTTGTTTTTAGTGCTCTGCATTTGGTAGTAGAAGTCATGGAAATGTCCCTAGTTGAGTTCATTGTAATGCATGGGATTTGATTATTTGGATTACTTTCCCTTCTTCCCCCATGCCTTCTTTTTCTTTCAGTCACCACCCAGTAAGCGAAGAAAATTAGAGAAGTCAAGGAAACCCATTACATTCGTAGTGTTGGAGTCTGTGATGAAAGAATTGTCCCTTAAAGCATCATCGTCCCTGGGCTCTGAGACAGTGGAAGGCATAGTAGTTGTGACAGCATGGATTGAAAAAATCCTCACCGACCTGAAGGTACCTGGTTAAGCACATTGAAGAAGTACTTACAACAATCTCTTTTTTCCTTCCTCCTCGTTTTTGTTTTTTTTTAAAGGAGTTTTGAGAGGAGAAAAGTGATTTCCTCTAAAATTCTGTTTTTCCTCCAATAGGTCCAGCATAAGCGAGTTCCCTGTGGAAAGGAAGAAGTTAGCCTTTTTCTAACAGCAATAGAAAACTCCTGGATTCATTTAAGGAGAAAGAAAAGAGAACGAGTGAGACAATTGAGAGAAGTTCCCCGAGCTCCTGAGGATGTCATCCAAGCCTTGGAGGAGAAAAAGTCCACCCCCAAAGAGTCTGGCAGTAGCCAAGATTTGGCCCAGGGCCCCGGGGAGAGTGTCCCATGTGGGCCTGCTTCACAGGAAGGCGAGTCTGCCACTGTTGAGGGCCATTGCTCAAACCAGGATCTCCTTTCCCAGGAAGAAAACCCAGAACCCATGGAGGATGAAAGGAATGAGGAAAAGGGAGGGATGGAGGTTTTGGAGAGTTGTAAAGGCTCTAGCAATGGAGCCCAGGACCGAGAGGCTTCTGAGCAGTTCAGCAGTCCAGTGTCTGAAAAGGGGAGCCATCTCCAAGGAGTGGCTGGACATTACCTATTCAAGTGTTTGATAAATGTGAAGAAGGAGGAGGATGATGCTTTAGTTGAAATGCATTGGGTTGAGGGCCAGAACAGGGATTTGATGAACCAGCTTTGTACCTATATACGTAACCAAATTTTCAGGCTTGTTGCTAGTTAACTTCTTGCACAGTTGGGAAAGTTTCTATAAAGTAGCCTGCTTTGGGGTGGCAAGAGGCATTCCACCATAGGCCCACTGATAACATTATGTGCAATTATCTTTAAAATAAAATAAACAAATCTATTTTAAAACACTCCCCACTCCCACCCCTTTAAAGTTATTGGGCATTAGTATGGTAGTTCATAAGGAAAAGTTGTTCCCAGCATCAACAAAAAGCTATCCGTAAACCCAGGAGGGATTTAAACCTGACTTAAGCTGACCACCTTAGCTTTAGGCTGAGGCCGAAAGGATTGTTTTTGGAGTCTGGTCTGGGTCGGAACTACAGAGCATCCTGCTCGGTCATCCCTAGTTGCTTCTTGAGGAGGGGTGGCTTTCTCGTTCTCTGAATGGAGGCAGTACATCGGAGAGATAGGCCCTGTGCCCAATTCCAGAGTCACCTGCAAGACTTCTCTGGGTACATAGGATTGGTTACCCTTGCGTCAGTCCTGAGGAAGGAACTGGCCTAATGGTAGGTGGTGGGAGAGTCAGGGAGAGAAAGCTTAGTAATGCCAGGAAGAAGGGCTGACCTGGGAGGGCGCCTGGAAGCGTCACATTCCTGATTCATGTCTGTTTTGATGGTGCTTATTTCAGAAAACAGAATTAGGTAAGCCAAACTCCCACCAGATGTGACTGAGACACAACAGAATGAAGCCATACCCCTACCTCCCCTGTTTGAAAGTACGGTTTTGTAGTGGTTTTACTGATGTGTATTTTTTCTTTTTCTTTTTTTTTTTTAAAGATTTTATTTATTTGAGAGAATAAGAGAGAGCACATGAGAGGGGGGAGGATTAGAGGGAGAAGCAGACTCCCCGCCGAGCAAGGAGCCCGATGTGGGACTCAATCCAGGGACTCCAGGATCATGACCTGAGCCGAAGGCAGTCGCTTAACCAACTGAGCCACCTAGGCGCCCTATAATTTTTTTTCTTTTGACATTTGAAGTGGAGCTTTGTTTTATTTTTAATATAAGAATATGCAGAATTGAAATCTGTCAATCCCGTTTGAATCCTGGGATTCGGGGGAATATTTCCATAGATCTGAATGGATAAATGACTGATGATAGAAATAAGAAATGGAGCAAGATAGTTATGAGCAGTAGGTTGCCTAAGAAAGTCTCATCTATTGGCAGAGAAGTTGTAGCTGATCATATATTGCTTTTTGTGGGTTCCCTTGTAATCTCTTCGGTGCTTACCTGTGCGCACTGGAAATTCTGAGGCCAGGGTGACCATGTTCTTAAAACATGTTTCTCATTGGAATGTCTCAGGGCTCAGCAAGAATACCTCTGGAAAGGGGGTCTCTTTTTTTGTTGTTCTCTTGGTGTCTCAGTCCCTCTGCTGTGCTTAACTTTCACACCTTGCGTTTGATTTTATACCAGTGGTCCTAAGGCTGTGTCTAGACTGAACTCTTTGAGTACAGTGCCAGAGCCCCTTCTTATCCTCAGAGAAGACTGGGGCTAAGTAGTTAAGCCATGCTTTTGAAAGGTGGCTATTGGTTAGGGCAGAAAACTGATGAAATTGGCCTGTCTTGGCAGCACCTAGACCCAGCCCTCAGCAGAGATAAAAGAACTAAAAATAGGACTATATTGTACTTCCCTCTGTCAGTAAAGACAGAGCTGCCCAATAGAACATACTAACTAGGGCGCCTGGGTGGCTCAGTTGGTTAAGCGACTGCCTTCGGCTCAGGTCATGATCCTGGAGTCCCAGGATCGAGTCCCGCATCGGGCTCCTTGCTTGGCGAGGAGTCTGCTTCTCCCTCTGACCCCCCCCCCATGCTCTCTCTCTCAAATAAATAAAAAATTAAAAAAAAAAAGAACATACTAACTAGTGTTCTTCACTAGAAGTCCAAGGACCTCTAGAGAATCCATAAACCTCCTGAATCATTTCAGAAAGCTCTGTGAACACCCCCTCCCCCCACCCCTTCAGAGAGAAGAATCTCTGACAGGATGAGAAAACCAGTACCTAGGGTCACACAGAGTAGCATGTGCTCATTAAAGATTTGGAAAAAGAGTAGAAAACAGCAACAGAATCATCCCTTGTCGCAGTCTTATGACCATTATTGTATTTTAGTGTTTCCTTCTAGTCTCTCTCTGTAGATGATCTGGGTGCGCAAGGGTGTGGGCTTAACTTTGTACTCATGCTGTGTATTTAATTTTATATTACACTTCTCTTCGTTTAATGTCTTGTATTTTTCTGTGTTAGAACAATAGTGTATTTACATACATTCCCTGCCTGTTCAAAATGCATTTCAGGCACAGTACTAACTTTCATTTAAGTCTGGTACTGAGGGCTGCCCGGAAAGTGCTCTGTGTGACTGGAGGCGCAGAAGATGCATCTTGCTTCTCTATGTGTTTCAGTGCTCCAGGTTTAAGGCTCAGTGTCCTGGAGGAGGTTTTATAGGTGGTGAGCTCACGCTCTTAGAATTTAAAAACTGAATGATGAGGCTTGAAGCTTCCAACTAGAGCTGTGAGTGCCTTCTTTGCACTTGGATGTCTTCGTTTTCTTCTCTGAGAAGAAAGTTTATTTCTGTCTAACGAGAGAACATTGGAGACATTTTTAAAAGACATCCAGAAATTTTTTTAATTATGCATATATTTTATAATTGCGTGATGTGTGGTAGCATACACTCTGGTATAAGGGAAAAAGGAATTTTTTTTCTTTTTTCTTTTTTTAAGATTTTATTTATTTATTTGACAGAGACCACAAGCAGGGGGAACGGCAGAGACAGGGAGAAGCAGGCTTCCCGCTGAGCAGGGAGCTGGATGCAGAGCTTGCTTGGTCCCAGGACCCTGAGATCATGACCTGAGCCAAAGGCAGCCACCTAACCAACTAAGCCACCCAAGCGCCCCGGAATTTTTTTCTTTCTAGAAATAGATTATTGGGGCGCCTGGGTGGCTCAGTCGTTAAGCGTCTGCCTTCGGTTCAGGTCATGATCTCGGGGTCCTGGGATCAAGCCCCGCATCGGGCTCCCTGCTCCGCGGGAATCCTGCTTCTCCCTCTCCCACTCCCCCTGCTTGTGTTTCTTCTCTCGCTGTGTCTCTGTCAAATAAATAAAATCTTAAAAAAAAAAAAAAGAAAGAAATAGATTATTGACCAATGTATCATAAGGTTGAGTGATGCTTGCCTTAGGTGCCTAGAGGTCAAGTTCATGTTGATGGATTTTATGGACTTAAATCTTTGTGGTATTATCTTAAATTCTATTCTGGTCCCTGGCATTGGCTTCTGATCTCTTGGTAACTAAAGTAGAAGCAGAAGCTGAACTTACTCTCCAAGGGGTACCAAAGCTGCCTTTGTTCTTTGGAATCTGCTTTGCTTCTGGCAGTTTGGTTCCTTCACCAGAGCACTGCTGCATGTCCTAGAAGGGTTGGTGTCACCATGGTGGAATTTCAGCTGATCTGAAGGGTTCATGTTTGTCACTTAAAATTTTAGTATCTATTTTTGAAATAAAGAAACCTCTCTTCTCTTGATGGAAATGATGTGAGCACACCAACGTCTAAGCTCTGACTAGTAATAAAACTGCAAGATGTGGAAAAGATGCAAAAGCCTATGGAAAATCCGAGCCCTCTTAAAAGAAGGGAGTAGGTAGCCCTTCATCTAACCTAACCCACAGCATTTTCCTCTCTAGCCACACGGGGGCATCTTTGGCCCTTTGATCAAGCACCTTCACTTCACTGCAGGAATGGATAAAATGTGTCCTTGGTATTTTCTTGAAATATGCATTTGCTACCCAGATAATATTTTTTATGCAAACAAGTAAATTTTCACATAAATAAAATTTGAAAAGTAGAAGTAGAAAGAGGGAAAAACCCACCACCCCATGGTCTTTTTATCTGGGCATAGTATGTTAACCTTTTTATGTTTCTTTATGGTCTCAGTTGACAATATTTTCTTTTATTTCCATGTATCCTGCTACTCTAGAAGATACCCAGGTTGGGTCAGTCTTTTGGATTAACTTTTATCTAGTTAAAATGGAGGTACTGGAGGGGGCTATACAGGAGTTTTCCAGAAGTCTTGGGTTCCAGGAAGAGTTAATACAGAGAGTTCTAAGAAACTGTTTTCATTGTTCTTTTGTCTTTAAATTCTTCCTTTGGTTTATCTGGTTGACTGGCATATATGATGTTTACTTCAGAAGTTGGCACAGTTGGCTCTGTGTTGTGTACATTATATTGGTGAGCTAGGCCTTGTTTCCCACAAGGGATGTTTCTCTGTAGAACATAGATCTTACTAACTCTGGGGTCTGTGTGGGTAAAGGAAAAGTTCCATCTACCCTTATTGTTATGGCACAGAATGAGAGGTGATGGGTGGCCCCCCCAACAGATCTGTCTGCACATGAGGAGGGAAAACTAAGGAGCCTCTTGGAGAAGGAAAGTCTCAAAGGTGCAGCAGGTTTGCAGCCATCCAGGAGGTGCCCCTAGGGAAGGGACGTGACATACCTTGTTTAAAGAAGTTGGTGCCAGGAGATTGGGTTTGCCGAGTGGGCACTAGCCCCCGTGAAATGCAGAAGACATTTACTCCTGAGGCTGAATTGGCTTTGGCCTCCTGGAGCAGAGCGTGGATTGTCTGGAACCTTTCTGAATGCTCCCCAGTACCAAGTCTTGGCGCAGTGCCAGGACAGTATTCGAAAGGCCTGTGTGGGGCTCAGCCCACTAGCAGCAGGGCCTCACGCACATACCCAACAGCTCCCATTCTGCTCTGTGGAGACCTTCAGATCCTCTGCTGTGACTCACCCAATGACTAAAACAGCAGTTTATTTTTTTAATTACTGGTTGGAACAGCTAATGCTCCCTTTTAGAACAGCTAATGCTGCCTTCTGGAGGCTGTGCTCTTACTGCAGGGGGCTGTGTTGGGACTGAGTGAGGGCCCTGCACCTCTGAATGCCCTTTGAGGTGTGGCCTATCTGCCTGTCAGTCCAAACAAAAACATCAGGGACTCTAGGCTCTCCCTTGGGAAGTGGAGGGTCACGGGTGCTTGCTGTGAGCCAAGAAACTGTGATAAGAAGGAGTGGACCAGAAACTGCTGCTGGACTTGGCAGAATTGGCTTGTATATGATGTTCCCAAGAGGGCAAAGGATATTTAATCCCAGATGCTTCTCCAGCACTCTAGGAGAATGAAGAGCAGGAAAGAGACTTTGCATCTTCAGACCTGCCTTTGTGTTCCAGTTCCACTCGCAGGGTAAGTCAGTTTCACTAAGCCTTAGCTTCCTCGTACAAAAGATGAGGGATTCTTGCTTCGCAGAGTTGTAGCAGCAGTGAAGTGAGAAGTACTAAGACACCTGGAGAGTGCATAAGCAGAGCGGTCTTCTCAACTTGCTCATCTCTTTGTATTCTTCTTTGAGTTTTCCATTTCTGGTCAGAACATCTACCCATAGACTCATGTCCGAAGGCCAAGACCTCAAGTGTGGAACTGCAGGTGTAGAGTACCACTTCTTGACCAAGAACAAACCCCACGCTTCCATGTACTGGAGTGACAAATGGGGAACCAAATTGATTGGCCATCTTCTACATAAATTGTCTCATTTAGTAACTCAGCACAGTGGTGGGGTGTCCCTCTGTGATAGCTTTAAAAAAAATGGAAGCTCGGAGAGCTTAAGTGACTTGCCCTAAGGTTATCCACAGAGCTAAGTCATGGAGATGGGGTTTGAACTTGGGTCCAGAAATCTGAGACTGGGGTCTTGTACCAAATCTCAAGATTTTGTAACAAATGCTACACTTAAATGGAAATGGGCTTTTAGGCTCATTTGACCTACCTCTGGGGAAGGAGACTTCTATTACATGGCACAAGGAAGAGAGAAAAAGCATCTCTCAATCAGCTTCACTTCATTTAGCACTTTAAGGTAGTATTATTTTCAAGCCTGGGATCAATGAGCAAGATTTGATAAATGAAATTGCTTATAATTAGTTCTTAATTTATGCTACCAAATCTTCATAGAATTTTGTATTTGGCAGCAGTGCAGATAATTAAGTAGTTAGTGGAACCACATAATAAAATGTCTAGTGCAAGCACATGTTGGATCAGAATCAATGTAAAATAACTGATAATTAGGTAATGACTCTTTGATAATACATAATTGTATAATAATGGAAGAAGGGTTTTACTTTTTTAATATTTTAATAGGCAGCTCCAAATATTTCACTTAACAGAATTGATGTGCTTTTTGATCTTGCTGGAGAAAGTCGCAGTTGTCAAAAAAACAGCAAGTCATCTTCCCCAGGTAGGGTGAATGAACTCATGTAAGTCTAGAGGAAAGAAAAGGCTGCCTGCCATCTGGTGGACCCATTCAGGGAGCGTGGCCCAAGTCTAGAAACTAGAGCCAGGAAATTCCCAGCTAGGGGACTTGGCTGGCTTCAGCAGCCAATTAGCCCCCAGGGAAATGGCAGCTTAGGCTACTGCTGTCCAAAAAGAGAAGGCTCTGCGGAGAGCACTGTGGAGCCAGACCCCTCCCGGGACAGCGGAGGAGGCATGGGACTGCTCCCATAGATTCTGTGATTCAAGAGATTGGATGTCTCTTGCTGGGAAAGGGGGGTTCCCAGTCTGGGGTAGGATCCTTAATTCAGGTGTGTTTGTCCCAGGATTCCTGCCTTCAGGGGCACACGTGGGGCTTTTGAATCAAACTCTAGCCTGTATTTCTCTGAACTCTAGATGAGCACTAATAAGGACTTGATTCATTCACAAAGGGAAGTATTTCCTCATCCTCTACAGTAGGGGCCAGGCAAGAAGAGATAGAGCTCATATTCTGACTAAAAGGGATTCCCATTGGTTGTTGCCATGCAAAAATAGTGTTTCTTGGATCTTCTAATTTTTTTTGCAAGAAGCCAGAAATCCAGATTTATGAGAAATTTACTTAATTGTAAATCCTGACAGCTAATTCAGTATTCTGTAAAAACCTGGTAGACCATCAGTTTTGTGACCTCTTCCACCACCAGGTGGTAGAACTGTTTAAATATTTGCTGCCTCCACTTCCCTAACTCTTACTAACCTCACCTACTCAAGTTGGCTTGCTGCATGCCTGCCTGCCTGTCTGCCTTTTTTATAAAAGAGTCCTTCTCACCTCTTAGGAGAGAATCCCGAAGATTCCATCCCAGGGTCCTTGTTTGCTCTTTGCTCCTAGCACTTCTGGCTGATTGCATCCACTCCCATGACTTGTTCACCCGTGGATTCATCATTCCCAAATCTAGACCTTTCCTGAACTTTTAACATCCACATACCTAACCACCTACTGGACATCTCCCCCAGGACCACGGCAGTGTCAAACTCAACTTACTGTTTAAACCTGCTTCTCTCCCAGGATGCCTGGGTGGCTCAGACTGTTAAGCATCTGCCTTCGGCTCAGGTCATGATCCCAGGGTCTTGGGATCGAGTCCCGCATTGGGCCCCTTGCTCAGCAGGGAGCCTGCTTCTCCCTCTGCCTGCCGCTCCCCATGCTTGTGCGCGCTCTCTAATAAATAAACTCTTTAAAAAAAAAAAAAACTGGCTTCCCTCCCATATTCTTGATCACCATCCATCCAGCTGCCCAGATTAGGAATCTCTGTTCCTCTCTCTCCTTTACCACCAGGAACTAAAATCTTTCACGTTGGAAATATCTCCCAAATTCAGCCCAGCCTCTCCACCCAGACTGCCACTACCTTAGTGCTCTCATCTCTCATTTGGACTGGAAGGGTCGCCTGAACCATTTCTGGGGAACTTCAGAGCTGAGTAGCAGAAAGAGATTTAGATAGATGTGGTGGCGGGGAGGGAGATGAAGAAAACCCACGTTGGGGGGCGAAACAGGAGCACTTTCAGAAGAAGGACTGGGGTGGGAAGTAGATCCATAAGAACATGTCACATTGAGATCAAGAGATACGAGGCCCTTCCTGAGAGAACACAGGAGAACTTTTTCCCCCTTTAACTTGTTTCATAGTTACAAAGGTAATGCATTCTCATTATAAGAATTTAGAAAATAATGGATAAAAATTTATAATTCCACTATTCAAATGGAGTTATTTTATATTTTGTTAGTATTTTTATATGTATATATATTTTTAAATAGCAAATGTGGGATCATATTGTGTATGACTTTTTATAATCTTTTTCATGTAGCAATATATTGTGATAACTTTCTGATTATAAAACTAATCTCTGTGTCAGAAAACTTGTAAAAATAAAAATTACCAGTAATCACACTGCCCAGAGACAACCACCACTAATATTTTGGTTTGCTAACAACCTGTTTTCTTTACATGCCATATTGTGAGTGTTACTTCACTACCTTGCTGGAAATTTTAGTTTCTGATTTTCACTATTGTAAATAATGCTTTAGTGAATATCTTTGTATAAAAAATTTTATGTGTGTGGGGGGCGCCTGACTGACTCTGTCAGTAGAGCATGGGACTCTTGTTCTCCCTGTCGTGAGTTCAAGCCCCACATTAGGGATAGAGTTTCTTGAAAATCTTACTATGTTTTCTTATTGCTTTAGGATAAACTTACATAAGAATTACTGAAGCTGGGCACCTGGGTGGCTCAGTTGGTTGGGCGACTGCCTTCGGCTCAGGTCATGATCCTGGAGTCCCGGGATCGAGTCCCACATCGGGCTCCCTGCTCAGCAGGGAGTCTGCTTTGCCCTCTGACCCTCCCCCCTCTCATGTGCTCTCTCATACTCTCTCAAATAAATAAATAAAATCTTAAAAAAAAAAAAAAAAGAATTACTGAAGCAGGGGCGCCTGGGTGGCTCAGTTGGTTAAGCGGCTGCCTTCAGCTCAGGTCATGGTCCCAGGGTTCTGGGATCGAGCCCCGCGTTGGGCTCCCTGCTCGGCGCGAAGCCTGCTTCTCTCTTTCCCACTCCCCCTGCTTGTGTTCCCTCTTGCTGTCTCTCTCTCTCTGTCAAATAAATAAATAAAATCTTTAAAAAAAAAAAAATTACTGAAGCAGAGGAACCTTTTTAAAGGTTCTTTGTGTATATTGCCAATTTGGTTACTAAAAAGGTTGTGCTAGTTTACATTTCCATTAATGCCAGTTTTTACCACTGCTTTGATAGCACTACAAGGCTAATTTTTAGTGTCTTTTTTTTTTAAGCTATTTATTTATTTATTTATTTATTTATTTATTTATTTATTTATTTATTTTAGAGAGCATAAACAAGCTGGGGGAGGGGCAGAGGGAGAGGGAGAGAGAATCTCAAGCAAACTGCGCTGAGCCTGAGCGTGAGGCAGAGCTTGATCTCACAACCCTGAGATTATGGCCTGATCCAAAATCAAGAGTCACATGCTCAACTCACTGAGCCACCCAGGCACCCCAAGGCTAATCTTTTTTAAAAACCCTCTATTAGGATGCCTGGCATGCTGGTAGAACATGCGACCCTTGATCTCAGGGTTGTAGGTTTGAGCCCTACGATGGGTGTAGAGATTACTTAGAAATAAAATCTTAAGGGCGCCTGGGTGGCTCAAGTCGGTTAAGCATCTGCCTTTGGCTCAAGTCATGATCCCAGGGTCCTGGGATTGAGCCCCACATCGGGTTCCCTGCTTAAGGGGGGAGTCTGCTTCTCCCTCTCCTGCTCTCACTATTTGTGCTCGCTTGCTCTCTCTGTCAAATTTTTAAAAATCTTAAAAAAAAAACCCTAAAATCTTTTAAAAAGTCCTTTATCAATTGATAGACAAGAATTTCCAGTGTTTTAATTTTATTATGGTATTGGCAAGGTCATTTTCATATGTTTATACATACTTATGTTATATATGTTATTTCATATATTTTATAAAATTTAAATTATGTCCATTTTTCTATACAAGTGTTTTTTTTGTTATTGAACTGCAAAAGCACATTTGCCAATATTTCCCTCCATTTTGTCATTTACCTTTCCCCTTTATTTATGGTGATTTTGTTTTTACAGTTAGGAGCTTGTAGAGGTTTTTTTGTTTTTTGTGGGTTTTTTTTTTAAGATTTTAAGTATTTGACGCAGAGAGAGAGCACAAGCAGGGGGGGCGACAGGCAGAGGGAGAGGGAGAAGCATGCTTCCCGCTGAGCAGGGAGCCCGATGCAGGGCTTGATTCCAGGACCCTGGGATCATGACCTGAGCCAAAGGCAGACGCCTAACCGACTGAGCCACCCAGGAGCTTGTAGAGGGTTTATGTAATCAAGTCTGTCATGCCTTTGCCTTTATATTTTCATTTTTTATATATTTTTTACTTTTTTTTTTTTTGAGAGAAAGTGCACAAGGGAGGGGTGGTGGGCAGAGGAAGAGGGAGAAAGGGAGAATCCCAAGCCGACTGCCCTCCCGACTGGGGACTTGATCTCAAGACCCTGAGATCATGACCTGAGCCGAAATCAAGAGTTGGACGCTTAACCGACCAAGCCACCCAGGCACCCCATCTGCCTTTATATTTTCTTTGTTTGCCTTCATGGGTAGAAATCTTCACTGCTCCTGGAGCAGAAAAAATGTTTCCTTGTATTTTCTTATGGCTCCTTTTGGCATTATTTTTAATATGTAACATTTGAATTGATGTTGGTATATGATGTGACATTTAAGAACCTAACTGTGTTTAACGAATGCTTCTAGTCATCACAGAGTAACTCTCTGAGCAGTGACTGGGACGTTCTAGCACTGCTATCTGAGGTGTCTGGGATGGGAAAGGTACTCCTGTGGGCAGGGGGGTGGGGTCATGTACTCTATCAGCCCCCAGCCTGGAAGTGGGAGGAGAGGCATGGGCTGGTATGTGCCTCCTGGAGTGTCCTTGATTGTCCCCAGCACTGTCCAGTAGAGACTTTCCCAGTGGGCCCTGGGGCTTTAGAAAGAAGTCCAGTTGTGGGTGTGGAGCTGAGCCCTGGATCTAGGCAGTCCAGTCATTGACAGCCACTGCTCAGGGCCTTACTGTTCTGAGAGGGCTGTTATGAGCACGGGTAGCTGATCTCTTGGGTTTTAAAGACTTGACTGTGCAGCCTGCCTTTTAGGTGTGAGCTTGGATTGCTGGGACCGTCGACCTCAGTCCTTTCCATGGGGCGTTACAGTCCAGCTCCTCTGCCCTTGGGGGGCCTCCCCTGTCATGGACACCCCCCACCCCCACTTGACCCAGTTGGCTCTTGACTCACAAGACTACACCTTGCTCTGCTCATAACCTTGCCCCATCTCACTGCCAATGACCTGAATTCATTTTCTCTCATAAAGCCACCTCTTTTTTAAGAGGAATAGCTGAAGTTCTTGTCTTTTCCCTCGTGCCTTTCTGCTTTGATCAGTTTCTTCCTACCAAGTCCCCTATAGCCCCCATCTTTAGCTGCAGTGTTTAACTAGCCTCTTTGGTTTCTCAGAAAAGCTCAAAGTGCGTGGCTCCTCCCTTTTTGCTTCCGAACTGCATTTCTTTCCTTATTACTCAGTGTCCACACCCAGGGCGGTTGCCTGGATAAAAATCTGCCCCTTTCCCCAGTCACCTTTTCAGGCCAGACATAGGCAGCAGTGAGGAATGGCTATCTACCCAGGCCCAGTTAGAAGCTCTTAATTCCTCAGTGGCCTGAGTCTCTGAGATAGTCTTAGCCTCTGGATCCTAAGTCTGGTTCTCTTTCCTTCCCTTCTCGTTCATCTGCTAAGTTTGTTTATTGGGCACCACTAAGCAAAGTTAATGATATTCCTGTCTTTAGCCAGAAGGGAGAAGTTCTCTCCTGTCATCACCCATTTCTGTGAGGTTTTCAAGGACTCTGGACCCACTTCCCAGGTTTGGGTATCCAACGCAGTCAAGGGAGAACCAGGCTGCTCTCATCCCAGCTGACACTAAGCAGCTTTGTGACGTTGGATAAGACAGCTTCTCTTGGGAGGTTAGACTAGATAATTTCAGCTCTTCCGGCTGTGAGATCATATGAGGCAAGGAAGAGGGGAAAGTACGTGACTTGACTGTACCTGTTCTGAGGGTTCAGGAGAAGTCCATTCCTCAGTGGGAGTGGAGGAAAGTAGGTGAGGACTTTGGTGGAAACTGCCGGCTCTGAGGAGCCCACCTCACTGATGACTGGATGAATACCATATGGGATACACCTCTATCAAAGCGATTCAAAATCCTGCTCATCATTCAGACTGGGCTTGTCAGGAATCAGGTTCGGTCCACTTAATTTCTTCTCCTTCTTAGAAAAGTATGATGATCTGGGAACCTAACCTAAATGAGTACGTCAGCATGCTTATGGGTCTTTTGTGGTCATAGGATCTCTTATGCTATGTCCAGCACGGTGGTGGTAGAGAGCAAAGCTAAGCTTTTCCAGGTATTACTGTGGAGTTGAGTTCTGCTTTGTGACCTTTTACCCCACCCTGGCTTACCAAAGGTCACCTGGCCTTGGCTACAAGGCCACCTAGCCCAGTGCCTGGCACATGTTTGGCGCACAATAAATATTTGTTAAATGAATGTTGTGCTGTGACCCTGGGTGTACTACTAGTCTTCTGTCCCTTCTCTTCGTCCTGGCTGGCTTTCTTTCTCCCTTTGGTCTTGTCTTAATTATGATATGTGGAAAGCTCCTTAAAACAAAACAAAAAAACCACTTGGAGAATTTTGAGAAGTTGGTCCTGAACAGTTAGGACATCTTCTGGGATCTAATATAAAATACCTGTACTTTGGCTTTCTGTCCTTTCTGCCGTCTCATTATGTATGCATCTTAGGGGTCAGGAAACTGATTTTCATAGCTCTTGGAGTTGCATATGTATGTAAAGCTTTGTTTGAGGGAGTGGGGTGGGGTGGAGGATGGAAGACCGTCTCATTAAGGGAATGTCTCTGGTTCGGCATATTAAAAAATTGAGGGATTTGAACTGGGCATTAGGATGCACTGACGAGGAAGACTGAAAATAGAAATCCTTTCATGAGAAAGTACACATGATGGGTGGCCCAGGTGTCCTGCTCTAAAGGTACTAAGCACCTAGAAGCCATAAAACAACTTTAGGAACAACTTTTTGGAGATGGCTGGGCTTTGGATCATTCCCACGAAGTGCTCACCTTTCTGCTGAAACATCAGACTTCTTTTCACTTTCCTTTGAAGGAATACAGTTGCCAGTTTCTACCCCAGTTCTATCCCTTTGGAACAGGAAGCTGGGGCTAAAATGTTAAACGGCTCTCCTATTAATTCCCCTCTCCTTTTATACTCCCCTTATAGGTATCTCCCACCCCAATTGTGTCCGTTCCCCAACTGGGGAAACCCTGGCTGATAAGAAATTCTGTTTAGCTATTTTCAGGCTCCCGTAGGCAACAACAGGCTTAGAAAAAAAAAGCCTCCTTTCTAAACCCTTCTTTTGCCTAACATCCCCTGGCTGCTGTCCCCACATGACCCGAATAAACATGATCATGTGAAGCCAGTAAGGCTGTTTGTTTTAAATAGCAAGCATCTCCACTAAGCTCTAGAGCAGATGGGGTATTGGGGGCAAGGGAGAGACTGGCATTTGACTCTGTTCACCCCACTTGCTTACCCACCCCTGACAGAAAAGTTGTCTTCAGAATGTTCCTTTTCAGAGGAGTGCCTTCTTAATGGAATAGAGCTGGTACCTGACAAAGAAGAGTCAAAAATTGGGCTTTGACCTCTACAAGAGACTTCAGGACTATATGAGTCCTATGACCACTTGAGGAAGGCAGAAGGTACAGCTGGATGGAGCTCTCTGAGCATCTTGGGCCACTGGACAGAATAGTACAGTGCTGACCCCAAACAAAATGAAAACTTGGTCAACAACATTATTTCAGGTCACTATTATGTATATTACATACAATGTTTAGCACCCCACCCCAACACACACACCTGTGTATTGCCTTTAAACTTCTCATTTTCATTGGTTGTGCCGTGGGCCAGGCCCAATCACACTAGTAGCAGGTGGCAGACATCTAAAAGGAAGCAATGTCAGGACCAGCACAGATCTCGCCCTCCCAGGAAAAGGGCATTCATTCCAGGGCACCTGGGTACGTTATTCCCACCCCCTCCCCCACCTTCCTTTCCAGCTCCATTGTAAGCAAAGCTAGTGGCACCTGGACGTGTGTAATGGCCTCTGCTCAGCTACAGACTCTGGGGCATTAAATGTGTAAAGATCAGATCCCTCTGTAGACTGCTGCTGGCAAACTACCCCCTTCCTTCTGTTCACTAGGTTCTTGATTTCCAAGATCTGTGCAGATTTTCTTTCCTTAGTATATGCATTATGCCCTCAAAGGAAGGGAGCAAAGCCAGCAGGCATGCATTTGTACCAGCTTTCTGTGCCTCTAAGCTAGACTCCAAAATAGGAACATACCCCTCTAAGGGCACAGTGGGGATGGGATGAGATAGATTGGCAGGGTGGTCTGCCACTCAGCTGTCCTCATAAAGTTTTGCTTTGTAGCTTTGTGTGATGGTGAAGCCCAGGCTGCAGGACCCTGAACCCAGCTGGCATTGTCCAACTCTGAACTGGTAGCAAAAAAAGGAATCCGAGGCTAGGCCCTGGGGGCCATAGGACTGCTGGCATTGGGCCAGCAGAGCTGTACTGTACATGCTCCAGGGTGCTACCAAAGTGCCTTCAGCTGGCCTTTGTGTCACCACCAACTGTACCAGTGGGGCTTGTGCGGCCTGCACCAAAGAAGCGGAACAGCAGGGTTTCAGATGAAGATTTTGGAGACCCTGAATGCAATAAGTGGGCAGACCACTTCCCAGGCAGGCAGTTTGATACTCCCCCATGATTTTTTTCGAATTGGGTGCCCTGCCCCAGAACTGCCTTCAAAAGAGTCGTCCACGGGGTCAAGGATAAATACTCCTCCCTCCAGAGCATACAGCAACTGGAATACTGAGTGACTTTAGACAAGTCCTTTCCGGTCTCTGGGCCTCAGTTTCCTTATCTGCAAAATGAGAGGATTTGGGTACCCTGACAAAGGTCTAACTTTCTGATTGTACCCGCAGGCGCCCCCAAATACTAGCGCAAGAGCGGCGGCAGCGAGCGCCAGCCGGGGATCCCGCCCTCTTGGCGAGCGCCGTCGAGACCAGGCTGAGCGTCCCGACCCCGCGCCCCGCCCGCGGCCTCAGTCGCCCAGCGGCTGGCAGGGCCAGGCTTCCGCCCTCCACGTTGTTGTTCCCGATTTGGGCCCCGCCCCCTTGGTCTGGGCTGCGGACGCCTTGCCTCAACTGCCCCCGCCCCGGCCCCAGAGCAAAGGGTGGACTGTGGGCCATCCACATTAGACACGCGTGGACAAAGACAAGAATTTGGGGGAAGAAAAGAGAGAGACTTGGTTTTGAAGGGAGAGTGGTGAAGAGTAATGGGTAGGCCAGGGCACAACTGCAGAATTTCCCTTTCGGCGTCCCACCCTCCGTTCTTACAGTGGACCCATCCGCACCCACGAATGTGACCGTGTTAGACACTGGCCCTTTAAACAGAAGGCTGGCGGCGCGGGGTGTCCATGTGGAGCTGCTCCATGCCGTGTTGTCCTGCCCGCCCATTGGCCCACGGCCCGGTGACGTCGCCTAATAGGATGCGAACGCACTGCGGGGGGAGGAACGGAGGCAAAACGCGGAACCGGATCATCACTCCGCTCTCTCCGCTAGTCTCTGGCAGCCTCCTGCCGTCAGCTCCGCCCACGGGCGGATCCCGGGGGAATTGCGACAGCCGGGTGGTTGCAGGAATTAGGTCACGTGTGGGTAGGGAGCGGAGACCCAGGGGTCAGGCCAGTCTCTACCATCGTAAGGTTTCCCTGACCTGGAATATCCTTACTTGAGCTAACTTAAGTCTTAAATTTTCCACCCTTCTTTTCCTCCAGCAGGACACACTTCGTTGTGAATGACCGCAACACGCAGCCCTGGCTCAACTTGTGGCTTGCCTTCGGGGCGGGGCGAGGCGAGAAAGCGGAAATGCAGGGCGCGAGCGAAGCTGGATATTCTCCCACCCCCACCCAGGCCACGTGTGCGCGCGCCGTCTATAGTGGGCGGGGCCAGCCCGCTCGGGACCCCGCCCCTCCCTTCGTGAGACGCCGCGGCCCTGCGGGCGGGGGCTCCGGTCCGGGCTTTGGCTGCGGCCCCGGTGTAGTAGCGGGGGCGGCGGCCGGGGGCAGCGCGGCTCCTTCCCTTGTTGTGTGTGTCGGTGCCTCCTCGCCATCTTGTTGCAAAGCCTTTTCTTGTCGGCGGGACTCCCGGGGGCCGCAGGGCGGGAGGCATCAGAGGGGGAAAAAGAGAGGGAGGGGAAGGAGGGAGGCAGTGCCGCCTTTTGTTTTTTTGCATCAAATTTTTTTTAATTTGCAAATTATATTTTGCAAATATTTTGGGAAACAATTTTTTCTCTCCGTGCTCTCCCGTTCTTCCCTGCGGAGTGCGCTGCGCCGCCCAGCCCTGTCGCCCCCCGGAGGTGATCCCTCCCTCCTGCCTGCCCGCCAGCCTGACCTGTGCCCGGCTCGCGGGCCGCAGTCTCGGCCCCGGCGCGCCCCCGGCCGCTCTCGGCGCGATGAGCATAGAGACGCTACTGGAGGCGGCCCGCTTCCTGGAATGGCAAGCGCAGCAACAACAGAGAGCACGTGGTGAGCGGCCGGGCTGGGCCCCTGGGGCACCGGGGAAGGGGAGACGAGCGACCCTGGTCTCTGAACCCACGCGAAACCGCGGGCAGGACCCCTTCCCGGGCGGCCTGCGAAGCCGAGCAGCGCAAGGTTCCGCACAGGAGCCGCCGCCCGGGGAGGAATGTTGGGGGCAGTAAAATTAATTAATGAATTCATTACCGTGCAGTGAGGGACCCGGCTCCTGTGGGCGCCACCTCAGCTGCCTGCCACCCCGTGTGCACCTTTCGTGGGGGCTCCTTTCGCGTGGGTCAGCGGCGCCCTCGGTAGCGCCGAGGATGTGTGAGCCGGTGGGGGGTGGGGTGTGGAATGGTGTTGCGTGGGGGTGGCAGACCCGCGTGTG